AGCCCAATTTCCTTCTATTGAGAGCCATGCCATTAGTTTATGAAGTTTTGCTTAAGCAAAAATCCCCATTATTTTGGGGAAAACACATGCCCTGCAATTTTTTTGGCTTCAGTTTATTCAGTTAATTGGTGCAGATATTCTTAGGACAAAGGCCATTTCCTGCCAGGTAACTTTCACCACTGTGTTTAATGCCCAATTAACAGGCATTACCAGTGCTGTTTTGTAGCCTTCACGTGTCTTTTTTTCATTTCATTTTAGTTACTACGAAGTACACCTATCCACTCTGGATGAACTTCAAACAAGTTATTCTTGGTTCTCGATGTTTCACATCACTTCACTGTATTTCAGTATTTATCTTTGAGGCAACAATCCCCTCGGCATTATCTGTAGCTCCTGGAACTCTGCTGCTCCGAAGGACCAGACTCACCGTGTGTGCATTGCTGATCTTTTTGATTTCCCACTGCCCATCTCCCGTGTAGCTCAACAAGGAGATGGCCCCGTCAGAGCTGCCGCAGGCCAGGATCAGTCCATAGTCATGTGGTGCCCAGCAGACAGAATTCACTGAGAAAGGAGAGACAGACCAGATTACATCACAGGGACTGCCTAAAACTGACTGATACCAGTCAGGCACCAAGAGTGAGTGGCTCTAAAAGCCGAGAACGAGTCTTGACATTGCTGAATTTCAGCAAAGCCAGTCAATTAACACTGTTTATAGAATGACGGAGAATGGCCTTTATTTTTGAACCCCTTTTAGAATGAGAACTCCAACAGAGCACTCTTAACGAGGTTAAAAAACTCTTGACAACAGTGGGAAGCATCGCTGACTAAAACAAGAGCTGAGTGGCAGGCAGAGGATGTAAAGTCGAGATCAGTAACAGCAAAGCCAAAGACTTCAGATCTGCACTGGCTGGACAAATCATCTGAAAACAAAAGTTTCCATTGTAAAACAAAACACTGCATGACAAATTCATTTTTTCTTACAGGACACAGACAGTATTTTCCTCAAGAATTCAGTCCCCTGTCATCTTTCTTTGAAAGCTGATTTCTTTGTATAACAACTCCTGTGCAAACACCGTATGAATCAGGACAGGAGGTTATCCAGTAATATAACCTTAGGTAAAGGTCCTGTTTGTGCTGAACAGATTTACTCTCTCTCCACTGTTTCTCCCTGTCTGTTTGACAGAGGCCTCCTTCCTTAACACTGACAGATTTACTCTAACCTTACCAGAATCCCCTCATTTCCCCAGATTCCCTTCCCAGCTCCAAACTCCCATACCTGAGGAATCATGTCCTGTGTATTCATAGGTCTTTTCCCAAGTGCCATTGTCTTCCTTCCAGATAATAACCTTCCTGTCATAGGAACAGGAAGCCAAGATATTCCCATACATAGGATGAGCCCAGGCAACCTGCCACACCGGACCTTCATGCCTGCAAGAAACAATGTCATGTGGAAAAGGGAAGAGAAACCCCTCCCAGCTGTGGCTGCCTCACAGACATCACTGCTGTGAATCCCTGTTCCAGAAGGGATTGGTGGCTTGCCATGAGGAATGGATAATGCCAAGATGGCAATGTTAGTGCCCTGACACGGGGTTGTCAGTGCCATAGAAAACAATTTCAAATGTTTATCCTTGTATTAGTACATTTTACTTCTTGAAAGTCACAGGTGTCAAGTACTAAATGAACCAAGCCCCAGTGTATTTCCCACTGCTGCTCTGTCCCCTTCCCACATCTGAGGAGTTTTTCAGCACAACCCTGGAGGAGTCCAGCCTTGAATTCAACCTGCACTTTGTGCTGCCCAAGGGCAAAGGGGCAGGGTATTAAGAGCTTCCCCCAGTGAAAGTCTGCTGTTCTGACAGCTCACCCCCTCAGGTCTGCAATGAGGATCTGCCCTCCGTTCCGGACGTCGAAGATCTTCACGGAGCGGTCGGAGGAGCAGGTGGCCAGGCGCGTGCCATAGTAATCCATCTGTGCATCGTGCTGCAGGCAAGGCAGGGACAGCTGTGCTCAGCGTGCTGAGCTCGGCCCAGAACCGGCACAGCTGCCCCAGGCTCGACACGCCGGGCTCAAAAGGGCAGTTTTAGACAATCCAGGCACACAAGTCATTTGTTTCCCCAACTGCTTCTTCTCTAACTAGGCAAGTGTTACACAGAAGGAACCCAAGAAATTCTGAGTAGCAACACACAGCATTTTTAGGGGAGGGCTGGGAACTGGTGCTGCTGACTATAAAGCAGTGACCAGTAATGTATTCTTGTTTTTTAAAAGGTAAAGTGGGTGTATGAACACTGACAGCTCTTAGTTACGTTTGAAACTTTGTCATCACAGAATCACTGAGGTTGGAAAAGACCTCTGAGATCATCAAGTCCACCCTTTGACCGATCCCCACCTTGATACCCAGCCCAGAGCACTGAGTGCCATGTCCAGTTGTTCCTTGGACACCATTCTGGGCAGACCCTGACAATGCCTGACCACCCTTCCCATGAAGAAATTCTTCCTGAAGAACTGGACTCATCTAACTAGGCTCCTTCCTTCTACAAATTACTTTGAAACCTTTCCTCCTGCCCAGACTAAGACATCTGCTCCCAGAAACGTCCACATAAAGGAAAACCAGTTTCATCAGCGGAAGTTGTGTACCATTTAGAATACACTTACACATATATTATTTCACAGAAACAAGTCTGTGCATGAAAATAAAGGTTTCAAATAATTTCTCCTTTCCAGTGTAGCTGAGTGTTCCTGTCCACCCAGTAGAGAACGGCAGGATCAGGATTTCAGACAGCATTCTGAATCCAACGCTGCACGAGTGTCCTCTCACACGGCACATACATCCCAGCCTGGCACACACATCCCAGCCTGGCACACACATCCCAGCCCGGCACACACATCCCAGCCCGGCACACACATCCCAGCCCGGCACACA